AAATCAGCTATTTCACCAGAAGCAGATAGTTCTCAAAGGAAAAAAAAATTTCTAGAAATAAGAAGACGTTTTGAAGCTGCTTCAACAAAAGATAAAGATACAGATGAACAGATTGATTTGGAAAAACCTTCTACCTCTTCTTCAACAAAACAATCCAAACCAGTTGTTTCTCGAGGTAAGACAAAACATCAATCGGATGTTCCACAAGAAGCAAGTAGACTAAGGAAAAGGTTATATGAAACCTCAAGTGAAGACACGGATATCGATGTAGATGATATACCATTAGCAGTTACCCCACCAAAATCAGATATTTCACCAAAAGCTTATGTTTCACCGAGGAAAAAAAAATGTCTAGAAAAAAGAAGACGTTCTGATTCTTCTTCAAAAACAGATGAAGACTAAAATGAAAATTAAGGAATATAGAAAGAAAGACAATATAGATCGTAATATTGTCCAGGAGATTTAAATGTCTTCTATGTAAATTATACTCTTAAAGCGTTAATGTTTTGTGTAAATTATGTTATATATTATATATACTTCTAGATAAATTAATGTTTTTATATATGTATTGAATATTGTCATTAATTATATAGATATAATTTATATATTTATAACAATTACATTGTAAATTATATTTTTATTATATAATAACTGTAATATATTATTAAATAGTAATATATTTGTATGAAATAATTAATGTACGATCATCTTTGAATATATAAAAACTGTCTTTTATTCAAAAGAACAAATTATAGAAACAACTTTAAAGCAGATATATAAATGGGCTTATATATATACATATATATAGAAATATAATATAAATTATATGAAACTTAGCGATTAAAAACATTATATTGAATACAAAAAATTTGACCAACACTTTTTAATTGTTTGATTTTTAATTTTTTTTGTTAGTCTTGCTTTTATATTCTTATAAAAATTTTTTATTGTAAAAAATACAATTATAACCTGTGTGAACTAAATAAACTATTCTATATAACATTTTAATTTGACTTATTTAATTATTTTCTTTCCTGAGTTACTATCTTCTTTTAAACACCTCATGTTGATCATTTAAAATTTTAAGTTATATATAAAATATTATTCGATATAATAATTAAAAATATTAAATATATATATTATTATCATTGGACAAAGCCATTAATTATATGAATTTATTTATGTTTAATATATACTATACGCGAAACTTTAAATATCGTAATAATATTTTAACTTTTTCTTCCTATACTTTAATTTAATAATAAAAACAAATGTTTATTATTGTCGTTAACAATGTCACAAATAATGTTTTTAATTACGAAATTTGATGTATTTCAAATAATCGTTATTATACTTAAAACTCGAGATATAAATTAAAGAAAAAGAATCATTTATACTTTTCCCAAGTAATTTTTTAAGGAAAATATGTGTATGTTTTTTTTTTTGTTTTAAATTGTTATCGAATAAATCATATAAACTTGGTTTAATTTATTATTGACAAATTATTATACTATAATTTATAATATGTCCTTACACTTGTTGTAAATGATGTTTGTAAATATATCGTAGTTCTAAATTCGATACTTGAGAGTCGAGATACTTAAATATTTTTCTTAATTCGAATTTAGTATTATTTTCAATATAATTTCAACTGAACAATTAATTTTGTTCGTTCTTGTCAGTTAGTGTGTTTATTTGACAGACAAGCATTACTTACAATGTGCTAATTATATTTTATTCATTTTCAATTAACAAATAATCATTTTAATTACCTGTTTCATCTTATGATATCTGATCATATGTATAGAATTTTTTAGTTTTTGGTTGCCTTTTTAATTTTTCGTACTTTTTTAAATAATACGTTAACAACAAAAAACGCGGAGTAAATTTAAGAGAGTTATCTTTCATAAAACTCTCGTCAATACTTAAATAAGACAAAAAGTAATTATAATTAATATTATTCTGCAAAGTGTTTTTAATTAATAATATTTAAATAAATTTTACCATTTAAGGTTTATTTCATATGATATATAGATCTATGAAAAGTTAATTAAATAAATATATATATAAATATATATTTATACATATAGATATATTTATGTATATATAAATTGAATATATATATGTATATATATGCATGTATTGAATCAAATACATATATTATATATATATTTATTATACGATGCTTATTGTGAACTTAAAAGCTTAAAAAAAAAGAGTGTGAGATAAACCAATGCATATACATATATATCTTATACTTTTATACAACATATAAAAAAGGTAATTTTTTGAAATTATCTACAATATTTTCTTTTTTTTTAGTTTTATTAATTTTTCATTGTATTTTTAATTAATTAATTTCTTTTTCTATAAATACAGATGAGCGACGAAGAACTCGTTCAGTGTCCTAATAATCCCAATCACCTGGTTCCTAGATCACAAATAGACGAGCATGTAAATACATGTCAATTATTGATGGATCCTAATCAAGAAATGCAAATTACAACTTCATCCGATGACGAAGTAATATATTACATTTGTTCCTAATCAAGTAATATATGACAAATATTAATTGATATTGATTTAAAACACTAGCCAAGACACTCAACATCTTACCAGGGGTCACTTCAGGAGGGAAGTTCTCATCAGGGGGGAAGTCAAATGGCAACTCTTCCAATTTCTGAGGATACATCTACTCAAGAATGGAGATCATCACTAAAACCAGAAATACAGGTAGTATCACCAAATAGATTACAAATGGTATGAAAATAATTGTTTGAATGAAATAAGACATATATTAATTGAAATTGATTTAATACCAGCTAAGACCTTACCCACAGCCGTTTGAAAGTAGTGAAACCTCAAGTGAAACAGATATAGATTTATGTGGATCAGAATGTTTTTCGGATAATCAGTCGAAATTACAGATGACAGATACACGTAAAAAAAAATATATTAAAATAATAAATACAAGAAGCAAGGTAAATGTAATTTATTTATAATTTTATTGATTTGAAATTTTTGCCCTTTTTTTTCTAATAAAAATCATTTCTTTTGATATGATAGTCACTTAAGAAACTAAAATTAGACAGTAGTACTGATGACACTTCTTCATCAAGCAATGACTCGACATTTTCACTTCATTACACTATGCCAGATAAAGAGAAACAAATTATACATAGTTTTGGTGAAGATTATATAAAACAAATATCTCCAGCTTCACAAGAAGAATCTAGTTCACAGCAAGCAGCTAGTTCACCACAAGAAACTATTTTACAACCGTTAAAAATGACATTGAAAAAGGAAGATGAAAACATGGAAGTTGAAAGTATGATGAATCTATCGTCAAGTTCATTGCCACAAGTGTCTACTTCATTAGTAGTTCCAATGGACGAATCTTCTTTGTCTGAAGAGGTTTCACAAGAACAATCGGAATCAATTAGTTCTTATGCTGAATCAACAAATGATTCGGATGATACAGAAAATCAAAGAATGAGAAGTGACATGGAACATGAAGAAATGTATACAGAAGAAACAACGGATGTAGGAATGTCACATTTTTCGACAGAAGTGACTACTCCATTTGAAGTTCAAATGGAAGAATCTTCTTTGTCTGAAAAGGATTTACAAGAACAATCACAACCATCTAGTTCTTCTACTGCGCCAACACATTATTCGGATATTTCAAAACGACCAAAAATGATTGGTAAAAGGAAACATGAAAAAATAATAATAGAAGAAACAAAGAAGCCTGAAAGATCGCATACTTTATCAGAAGTGACTAGTCCATTAGAAGTTGGATTGGCAGGACCTTCTTCATCTGTTCCAAAAGAACAATCCAAACCAGTTAGTTTCCCTGCTAAGACAATACAAGAATCAGTTAGTTCAGAACGTCAAAGTAGGTCTAGGAAAAAGAAATATGAAGAACTAATGGAGATGGATCCGGTTAGACCAAGACACCGAAGTAGGTCTAGGAAAAGGAAATATGCAAGAAT